ATAGGATGGCCATTTTTACTATCTTAATTCTACCAATCCATGAGCATGGAATATCTCTCCATTTTCTGAAGTCTTCTTTGATTTCTTTCTTGAGAAACTTGAAATTCTTCTTATACAGATCTGTTACTTGCTTGGTTAGAGTCACAGCAAGATATTTTATATTATTTGTGACTATTTTGAAGGGTATTGTTTCCCTAATTTCTTTCTCAGCCCGCTTATCATTTGTATAAAGGAAAGCTACTGATTTATTTGTGTTAATTTTATATCCAGCCACTTTGCTGAAGTTGTTTATCAGCTGTAGAAGTTCTCTGGTAGAATTTTTGGGGTTGCTTATGTATACTATCATATCTTCTGCAAATTATGCCATGTTTGATTGATATCCCTGGGAGGCCTGCTCTTTTCTTAAGGGAAAGAAGGGAGGAGATGGAAGAGGGTGCTCTGGCGATGAGAGGAGATGGAAGAGGGTGTGAAGAGTAATGGGAGGAGAAAAGTGTGGTCAGGAGGCGATATATGAGAGAAAAATAAGAAATATATAAAAATAAAGTCTCCCAACCAAAATAGCCCAGGGACAGATGGTTTTAAGGCTCAATCCTACTATACTTTCAAAGAAGAGTTAATGACAATACTCCTAAAATTATTTTAAAGTAGAAAAACGAAGGAACATTGCTCAATTTGTTTTCCAAGGCCACAGTTATCCTGATAGATATCCAACCACAAAATACTTGATAAGAAAAAAAGAATTACAGATATTTCCTTTATGAACATAGATGCAAAAATTCTCAATTAAATACTTGCAAACAGAATCCCAGAATGTATCAAGATCATTCAATCAGGATCCAGTAGGCTTCATCCCAGAAATTCAGAGATGGTTCAACATAGGTAAGTCAATAAATGGAATCCTACACATAAACAGACTGAAGTACAAAAGCTACTTGATCATCTTTTCAGGAGCAAAAAAATGCCTGTGACAAAATCCAACATTACTTCATGGTAAAAGTGCTAGAGAGACTGAGCATATGAAGGACAGACCTCAACATAAGAAAATTTACAGCAAGCCTACAACCAATATCAAGCCAAAGAGAGAAAAACCCAATGTATTTCCACTAAAATCAGGAATAAGACAAGGATGTCTGCTGTCTCTCTACCTATTGAATATAAGACTTGACTATTTAGCTAAAACAATAAGAAAAATGATCAAGGATATAAATAGGAAAGGAAGAAGTCAAAGTATTCTAATGTTCAGGTGATATGATTATATACCAGGAAATGTCTACCACTGATAAACACTTTCATCTTAGCAACAAGATATAAAATTAATATTACAAAAGTTAGTAGCATTCATTTATGCAAATAACAGACTTACTGAAAAAGAAATAAAGGGAAACAGTATCTTTCACATTGGCCTCAAAAAATATATTGGAATAACTCTAACCAAGCAAGTGATAGATTTGTATAATAAAAAACCTTAAGACCCTGAAGAAAGAAATTGAAGAAGACACTAGAAGATGAAAAGATCTTTCATTCTCACAGACCAATAGAATTAATATTGTGAAAATGTCCATCCTACCAAAAGCAGTCTACAGAAAAACTCTATGAATATTATTCATATTCTAAAAAAAAAGAACTAAAAAAAAACACCTTAAACTTCACATGGAAATGCAAAAACCCAGGATAGCTAACACAATCTTGAATAATGGAAATATCAACACTCAACCCTTTAGGCTGTACTATAGGGGTGTAGTAATTAAAAAACAGTGTGGCATTGGCATAAAAACAGATTGACCAATGGAATAGAACTGAAAATCTAAAACAGACAGATTGACCAATGGAATAGAACTGAAGTTCTTGGCATAATTATTCAAACCAATATAGATTAGTTTTTTACAACGAGGCCAGAAATATACACTGAAGGAAATATAGCATCTACAATAAACAGTTCTGGTCAAACTGGATAAATGCATATAGAAGAATGAAAGTCTAATACCCTGCACAAAACTATACTCCAAATGGATCAGAGACCTCAAAACCAGATGTGCTGAATCTGATTGCAAACAGAGTACATTGTAATTAATCAATACACAAAGGACTTTTGATCAGGACATCCATAGTGCAGGCATTAAAGACAGCAATTAATAAATGGAACCTCAAATGACACCATCATTTAAACACAAAGGAAGCCTACAGAATGGCAAAAAAATGTTTACCAATCACTTGTATATACAAAGAACGAACAAAACAAAAATCTTGATTATGGAAACAACTCAATTTTAAAACAGGGTTAAGAACTAAACATAGTTCTCAAAAGATGAAGTACAAATGGCTAAGAAGTACTTAAGAAATGTTCAAAATTCTTAGCCATAGGGAAATGCAAATTAAAACTATTTTGAGATTTCATCTTACCATAGTCAGAAAGGCCAAGGTGAATAAACCAAATGACAGCACATGCTGGCAAGATTGTAGGGAAAGAGAAACATATATCCATGGCTGGCAAGAGTGAAAATGCTTACAGCCACTATGGAAGTCAGTGTGGAGGATTCTCAAAATCTTACTGCAGAGATATTCATATGTGTTCATTACTGCTCTATTCATAACAGCAAGAAATTGAGATCAACCTAGATATCTATCAGCTAATGAATGGATAGTGAAAATGTGGCACATTTACACAGTGGAGTTATTCAGATGTTAAGAGAATAAAATTATGAAATTTGTTGGAGCTATAAACAACCATCCCAAGGAACATAACTCAGACCCAGAAAGACAAATATTGCATGTGTACTCTTATACGTAGATGTTAACTTTAAAGCCTTTGATGTTTCATTTAGAATACCCACAGAGGCTAAAAGTATCTAATAAGAAACCAAAAGAGATGAGGGGGATCTTTCAAGAAAGTGAAAATAGGATATAGAATTGCAGAGTAATAATGGGGAAACTAGAAAAGGATTAAATAGGGAAAGGCATGGGAGGACAGGATAAGCAAGGAATTATACAGAAGGGAAACTAATAGTAAAGGTCTTTAGAAAAGTCTGAAAACCATCTACCGTAGAAACTAAAATGCATACATGAGTTAAAGAAATTTAATTATTCCTATTACTATATAATATGGGAGACAATGTGCCAGCTAGACATTTGTGATACAAGTAAAACACCTATTACCAGAAGTGGATTACATCTTGTTGAACCATTGACCAAAGGGGTCCCATAGCCTTTCCTCCCAAGCATTGTAGGCTTTTGCTAATGCTATTTGATACTATCCACAACCTGACTGTAAGCCCTATTGTTGAAGATACCGTTTATGCCATTGAGCATTGAGAAATCAAGTTAGTGCCTAACTAGAAACTTAAATTATTACAGTAACCTGACTATAAGATATACCCACGGATGCAATAGTGGCACAAATGTTACAGGAACAATCAACCACTTTTTTATTGGATTCAAGGCCCATTTCATGAGATGGAGCCCATACCTGACACTGCTAAAGTGGTCAAAAACCTGTGATTAGATAGGTCATGGTCCCAAAGGGGAAGCCTACTACCATTATTTTGCTAAATGAAATTAGTAGTAAAATGTTTCCTAATGACATATTGCTAGACTAATGGATCAGTGCCTCACTCAACCTTTATCAGAAAAGCTTCTTGCAATAGATGGTAAGTAACCATCTATTTACCAATAAGTGGTAAATAGCCACAGCTGGCCAGTGGAGAGAGTGAAAAACTTTGGAGCACTCAGCCCTAAATGAGATGTTTTCACCACAGCCTTCCACTGAAGGTTAAGGGATCTATTCAGAAAAGGAGTTAGAAAGATTATAAGAACCAGAGGAATGGGTGGCTCAAGGAAGCAGTTTCTGCCATACACAACAGGTCTAATTTACATATGCACTCACAGAGGCTATGGCAACACGCATAAGACCTACCCAAGTGTAAGCCAGGCAAAACTGCACAAAAAACTCCACTCCTAACCAAGAAGCTATTTGCAATTGCTAGGAGACGGAAAATCAGTTTTCTACAAAGAAGTCACATTGAGTGTATCGACTACACTTCAGGGCAAACCCCATGTTGGTCAATACAAGACTGACTCCATGTTTTTGTGTGTTTTCTGTTTGTTTGTTTGCTTGCTTGCTTGGCTTGATTTTTTTTATGAAAAGAGTTCTTTTTTGATCTTCAAAATATACTTTTTGTAAGAAAAAAATTAAATTGCTGTGTGAGCAGGTGGGGAGGATCTAAGAGGAATTGAGGAAGAGAAAAATATAGTCAAAATGTATTGTAAAAAAATTTAAGTGAATAAAAAAAGATTCTTCAAGACATTAGGTATGATATACTAGTAACTAATCTGTAGATTTTGAATTTGGTCATTTTTTTTCTTAGTCCAAGACCCAAACTGAATTTCCACAGAAGAATCATTGCTTCTTTAATATGTGTCACATTATCATGTGTTATCTATTTTGTCTTTATAGCTTTCACACTTTTTGATGCAAGTTTTTTTGTAAAGTAGATTCATTAATGTCTGGATTTTATTGCTTCATTATTAGATTGAAGCTGTGCATTTTGTCAAAAAAAAAAAAAGGAAGATCTGCTTTTCTCCATGGGATATATTGGGGAGATATGTGGTAAACTCATTATATGGAATATAATCTTTAATGACTTTAATGTTATATTTGTCATTCTCCATTGTAATGTATCAACTCCTTATATTTAACATAAAAGTCTTCTGAAATTTCCTAGCTATTTTTTTAAAAAAAGAATTTATTTTCTTTGCAATGTTGGAGATTGAATTCAAGGCCTTATGCATACTGGGAAAACACTCTTCCACTGACCTCCATTCGCAGTCATAATAATTTTAAAAAGGGAAAAAATAATAGGAAAGAATACAGTTTAAAATACTAAATGGAGAAAACTGAAGCCCTTACATTTTATTCCATTACTGAGAAATAAAATGAACAAAGAGTATATAATTTAACCAGATCCAGCACCCACTCTTCCTTCTTTTTCCTTCTTCCTTCACAGATTTGAAACTTTGTTTACAGAGTTGGAAATGAGACAGAAAACACTAGGCATTGCCAACTTTGGAGCTTCAATCACTACAATGGAAGAGGTTTTCCTTAAGTGAGTTACAATAACCTGGAAACGCCTATGTTAATTTAATAAAAAACATCACCCTTTTACAGCTGAAATAAAGTGTCACTACATTTTCAAATATGCTATTTTATAGCAATATATTTCCATGTATATTCAGCTGAGGTATAAAGATGTTAAACTTGAATCTTAATACGTGTCATTTTTTTTACTTTTTTCTCAGAAATTCATGAGTGAGTACTGTATTTACATCATTTCCAGCCATATTCTCTCTCCTTCAACTCCTCCCTGCCTGCTCTCAGATTTACTACCTTGTCTTTATTGTTTACAGAGATACACACACACACACATACACACACACCCTACTGAGTTCGTCTAGTGTTTCTCATATTTATATATTAGGGATGACCACTCAGGATTGGATAACCTATTAGGGAGCTCATTCCTGGGTGTAGTATCTTCCCTCTCTTATCAGCCATTGATTGAATATAGCTCTTTATGAGTGGGACTTTGTGAAACTTCTCCAATTCACAAAGACGTATCAACTGGTGTAGTCATTATGCAGGACTTGTTTAGACAGCCATAAATGTTACAGTTTCGTGGATGCAACTCCCTGTAGTATATAGAAGACACTATAACACAGCAGATATCCTGTTCCTCTGTCTCTTACAGTTTTTCCACCTCATCTTCTGTGCTGTTCCCTGAGCCTTAGATGTAGCAGTTGTATTATAGATGTATCAACTGAGGTTGGGCATTCCACAATTTTTTTTCTGCATTTCAACAGTTGTACATATCTTTAATGGTCTTTCTCTGTTGAAAAAAAAAACTTCATTGATGAGGTTGAGAACTACAGTTATCAGTGGTTATAAGGATAGGTATATAGAATGTAGTTGGTAAACATGGTTTGGGAAAATGTCTATAGTAAGTTCTCCTCAAGTAGTTGGCTAGGTTTTTAGCACAAGGTATGAATTCTCTCCTATCAAGCATACTTAAGTTCAATTAGACAGTTGTTGGTTGCCCCCAAGATATAAGTGCCACTATTGTACCCTTGAGGACATCTAGCCAAGCTGATCATTATGCTTTGGAGGCTTTTACAGCTGCACAGGACTATTGATTCCTTTTCTCCCTTGGCATCTTGAATAGCTTTTTCTATTACTGTGAGAGCTAGTCCTTGGTAGGAGTCTTCCAGGTCAGTTCCAGCTCGATTGTCTAAATCCTGTGTCCAAAATATGTAGTATCCTTAGCTCTAGGGTTTCAAGTTCTGGGAAGCAGCCAAGAGCAATATCAGTACTCTATATTATTTTATTTTATAGACTGGCTTCATATTCTTGAAGCAAAATAATTTCAGACTATAATCAAAAGAAAATACTTTGTGCTCTTCTGTGTATCTATATCTGTTTAGGGTCAATAAGCTGGCAGCTCCTCAAAGGACTATTCAGACTGTCCAACCCTATTACTTGACATACAAAAAGATGAGACAAGATGACCAGCAGAATGTGAATATGCTCAGAAATTACAGCAAACCAAATTTTCCCTATTTGAGTGAAATTGCTACTGTTAAATTTAACACTGGGGTAAGCATATTATAATTTGTAATTTTCTATATATTTTATTTAAAATATGGTTATATCAGGTTCCCCCTTCTCTTTCCTCTTTCTAGCCCCTAGCAAGTTCTCTTTCACCACCTTCTTCCATGTCCCCTTCTACTGTCAAATTGATAGTAATTTTCCTTTGGTATATCATATTTTTTGATGTCTAAACTTTAAAAGATGCTTTCAGTTTATCCAGCTAGAAATGAATTAATCTGTGAAACTTGATCTGAGAGAAATGATCTGTAGATAAAAATCCCAGATGCTCCTCTCACCATTATTATCTCTCAGAATCCCTTTTCTAAAGTTCTCATTAGAAACACTCCCTTTGTTCAGTTATAACCAAAGAATTATAACTACCATGTTCAGAAGGCATTTGTTGATCAAGTAATTCCTCTCTGAATAACATTATGTGTGCCTGGCAAAATAAAATCATTTTATGAGGAGTGTTCAAAGTGAAAGAAAAAAGATTATATGATAAATAAAAACACAAAAAATTCCAACATTTGTGTGTTTTCTTCATTTTGTTTTGAAACAGTGTCTCACTGTGTATTCTTGGATGGCCAGGAGCAATCTGTATAAACCAGGCTGGCCTCAAACTAAGAGATACCTGCTTGTTTTTGCCTCACAAGTACTGGGATTAAAGGCATGTGCCACTACACATGGCCTGATTTTCCCATTTTTTACTAAAACATTCTTTTTTTGTATCTCTCAAATATTTTTGTAGGCTATTTTATTTACATTTCAGATGTAATTCCCTTTCCCCCCTCAACCCAGGAACCCCCTATCCCATCCTCCTCCTCCTGGATATGCCCCCACCCACCCACCCACTCCCACATCTCCACTCACAATTTCCCCCACACTGGGGCATCCAGCCTTCACTGGACCAAGGACTTCCTCACCCACCTATGCCTGACAATGTCATCCTCCCCTCTGTATACAGCTGAGGCCATGGGTCCCTCCCTATGTGCTCCCAGGCTATCTTATAAAGAGAATCTTGGGACTGGGGTATAACTCAGTGATTGAGTGCTTGCCTAGAATGTGTAAGAGTTTGATCCTAGCACTGCCCTTCCCCACACAAAAAATTATCTTAAGAGTTTTACTATAGTTAGAAGCCATGTTTAATGCTTTAAATTAATAATGCACAAATAAATTATTTACTTTGTTTTTACTGGGGTCAACTAAAATTTATTTGTATTATATTTTATGAACATATTTTGCATCATAGATTTTAAAACATGATGAATGAGTTTCATCATGAGTATCCTTGAATCTCTAATTATCAAAATACTATTTTTCCTTTCTCTTTATAGGTCCCACTTTACCGCCAACAATTTTATTCCATGTTTATAAAAAGAGCACTATTCATTAGCCGCAACTGGAAGTTGATGTTTTTACAGATAATAGTAGTTTTGGTTGTCACTACATATCTCTTATTAGCTCTGCATTTAGATGATAATGATATACCTGAAAGGGAACTGAATTTGAGTCACTATGGTAGAACCATTGTACCTTACTCAGTTTCAGAGAATTCTGATTTGGCTCTGAATCTCATAAAAAACCTGAAGATTTTTCTAAAGTCAAAGAATCAAAGCTTAAGAAAAATAAAAGGTAAGGTTTGTTTACAAAAAGAATCAACTACTACTCTATAAAGACCTACTTATCATTTGCAATTTATATAATTATAATATTTAACTACTTGTTTCTTTTCCATCCCACTAGTTACCAGTATCATAGAAGTAGCTAAATAAAAAGCAAAATATACTCTTAGACACAACTGTCCACAAGTTAGTAATTGGTGAGGACTTTTTTTGGCTGAATGTGTCTCTGCTAATTTCATCACCCTTCGTGGGGATGGGAAAGATGAAAATATGGCACTGCTGTGTGATTTAGCATTATAAGTTTTATTCTCATTGAAGGACTACTGTTATCTTCCAGAGCTCTCACAAGATGAGTTGTTGGTTCCTCTATATGAAGGCTATCCTTTTTAAAATTAGTCATTCTGTAAACCAGTGGCTGAAGAATTAATTGACTTCATAAGTAATTTCTGAAAATGATGTAGGTAATTGTTTTGTTCAATTGATTTGCTCAACATGTACCCTTAGTAAGAACCATAAGTCAATATGTCCTCTATATTTATTAATGCTAAAAACAATGAGTTTAGTAAAATCCCAACTACAAGTGTTTTGTTTATTTGTAGGTAAGATTTTGAAATTCTAATTAAATTTAATAAATTTGAAATTCTAATTAAATTTAAACCAACATAGAACCCAAATCTGTGACTGTTGTTCTTACACAAAGAAGAAAGTGGGAACTGGAAAGATGTCTCAGCTGTTAGAGCTCTTGCTGCTCTTCCAGAGGACCCAAGTTCTTTCTAACCCCTCTATCAAGCTACTCAACTGTCTCCCGGGGATCAGATGCCATTTTCTGGCCACAGTAGATACACACCTGGCATATGTATACATAGACACACATAATTTAAAATTAGAGAAGATAGATGTGAACGTGCATACAGAAAGGAAAGACCATGTGAGGACACAGACAAAACTGCTACCCAAAATGCAAGGCAAAAGTATCAAAAGAAACCAAACTTACCATCACTAACCTCAGACTTCTAGGCTTCAACTGAAAAATAAACTTGTGTTGCTTCAGTTATCCAATCTGTGAGATTTCTTATGGAAGCCTGAGAAAATAAAGATACATTTTAGTACCAGGAAGTAAGTGCTATATAGCATATACCCAAAACTATGAAACTGGCTCTTGAATACTATAACAAGAGGCTTACAAAGTTTGAAAATGTATATTAGAATTCTAGTTTTGAAAATACTTTTAGGAGATACTAAAGATGATTCTGATGAGTACGAATACAGGAAAGAAAAAAGCTTTAAAGAAAAATTTTATCTTCAGAATAGATTATCATGAAGTTAACATAGTTGAAATATGAGCATTAAGGATGCTCTGATTAGATATATACAGTAATTGGGGGCATGTTATTAAAATTAAAGGAAGAGGCAAATGGAGGATAGAGAGATGGCTATGTGATAAATAGCACTGGGTGCTCTTCCAAAGAACATACGTTATATTCCCAGCACCCACTTGGTGGTTCACAAGTACCTGTAACCTCAATTTCAGGGGATCCAATGCCTTCTTCAATGCCTCTGTGATCACAAGGCATGCAAGAAGAGCACAGAAATGCATGCAGGCAAAAAAAAACCCAACCCATATACATTACATTTCAAATTAAAATAATTTCTAAAACATAAAAACACAGAAGCAAATAACTTGATTTAATTGTATTCTGCTACTTTGTGGAGAGTAGAACATATAAGTGATAAAGATATTTACCCAGGGAGATTTCTAAACAAAGTGTTACAATTATGCTTTGGTTTGTCCTTACCACTTATAGTAAAATGTAAAAGGAAATAGATAAAATAAAAGATGAAATATTAAGCAAAAAGGAAAGATGTAAATAGAAAATTCTCACTATATCCATACTTTGAAAAGTAACATTTGAGAAGATGTTCTATAGAACTTACCAGTATGTTTGAACTATTTATTTAAAATATATGGTTATATGACTCTTGTCTCAAAATATGACATCAAGGAAGGCTGCTGGGCTGATAATATTCCATATAGCAACCATTCCAGCTTCAAATATGTATCTACATCAAGAAAAGAGAGGACCTAACAAAAGTGTTTGAGATGGTTGCAGAGCTCTTGTGGCCACCACATGCAGAGAGGTTTTAGGCCTAGGAACTAAAGCTGAGTTAAGGCCATATGTAGTATCGGGCACATAAGAAGTAGGTCCAGCACCAAGAATAGGGTAGGTATAGGTACTTGATTAGCCCAGAAGGCAGGGCAACCAAAGTAGATTGCTGATTTTGGAATCAGAATATCTGTGGTATGCCAAACAATGTCTTCCTGTTGTGTCTTTCTTTTAAGATTATATAGTGTAATTGTATTTCTCCTTCCCTTTCCTTTTCCAAACTCTCCCATGTGTCCTACCCTACTCTCCTTAAAATTCATGGCCTCTATTTTGACTCACTGTTATTACACACACATACACACACATATGCATGTATTTACATGAATTTGTAAATATAATCTACTCAGTCTATATAATGTACTTGTATTACGTTTTCATGGCTGACAGTTTGGTATTGGACAAACAACTGGTGTCCTGTTCCCTGCGGAGGACCACTTCTGAGCTTTACTCAGTTGCCTGTGGTTCTCCATGTAGAGCTGAGGCTTTGTGGGTTTTCCTCATCCACTTTGGCATGCCATCCCTGTCCAACTCACGTTTGGGCACACTGGTGAGGCTTTATGGGTATATCTTCTGCTTTTTCTATGACACATAGTCTCACAGCTAACTGTCTGTTCCTCTAAGCCATACAATCTTTCCACCTCATCTTCTAAAATGTTCTCCAAGCCTTAGGTGTGGGAGTGCTTTGCAGATATATCTATTAGGACTAGGCTCCACAACACTGCATTTTGATTGGCTATGGTTTCTGTAGTGCTCTTCATCCATTGCAAAGAGAAGTTTTCTTGATGAGGAGTGAAGACTACACTTAACTATGGGCATAAGGACAGATATTTATAGATTGTTGTCAGGGATTATGCTGGTTTAAAAATTAATTGTTGTAGATTATCCTCCAATGTGGGATTGTAATGGCCCAAGATTACAGAGGAAAGTCTAGGAGATCTTTAGTCCCAGATACCTCAGATGAGGACAGGAGCTTGGCTCTTTCCCCTCTCCTAATCTAATGCCATGAGGCCATCTGCCCCACCATCAACCCTAGTAAGAATTTACTACCCTGACAGTTACCAGACTTCACTCCTTGTTTGAACTATATCCATACTATATATAAGGTGTATACCCAACCCCCAGTCCTAGACCCTACAGCCCCTGAGTATGAAGCATCTTCCAACACCCCTGTCCTGGCCAATTGTACATGGCCAAACAAAACTTGCCCCAGAGACCCTGGCCACCTCTCCAGAGGCATAAATATGGCCCCATTAAACAAAACAAGTTCTGAAGCCGTTCCTAGATGTGTGTTCTTTGCCCATGTACTTACCACTGACCAAGATCCTTCCTGCAACTGGCTAAACTTCTCTCTCTCTCTCTCTCTGGTGGACAAGGGGCCCAGCTACCCCAAGGGAGAGAAGTAGACACAGGCCAGCAGCTTACACCCAACATGACTGTAATAGGACCTCCAGTAGTTATAAGCCAATTCTAAAATTTATATAGGAATGTGAGTCAAAATGAATAGCCAAAGCAACTCTTTAAAATAACAAACTATGTTTAGTCTTCACAGTTAAGAAAAATATATTCTTAAACTAGTCATAGTGCTGCATACATTTAATTCCAGCACTTGGGAGAAGCAGGTAGATATCTGTGAGTTTGAGACCAGCCTAGTCTACATAGAAAGTTTCAGGACAGCCAGGGATACATAGAGAAAGCCTGTCTCAAAAAATATATATTCTTAATATATGATTGGGTTATGAATATATTATACAGTGAGATCATTGTAAGATTAATGATGGAGTAAAGTTATTGAAGAAAACATCCATTGCCAGAATTTGGAAAACAAAATGGTAAGTGGAAAAATAAACCCCATAGCTTTTTTAAGTCCATTCTTTCTAATATAAGTTCTAGGTACATGTTGACTCACTGATACTTTCTTTTTTTATTCTAGGTGATATGAATGATTACATATTAGAAAATAAAGATTGTCGTACCTTCTGCATTGTTGCACTTTCTATTACAGTTGAGAAAAACAAAACAGTGCTCACTATTTTCTTCAATAATGAAGCATACCACTCACCTGCAATATCCCTGTCACTATTAGACAGCATTCTTTTTATGATACTTTCTGGCCCTAATGCTTCCATTACTGTCTTCAATAAGCCTCAACCTCTCCCTCATTATGGTTCGAACACAGTGTATGTATAATTTTCCTTTTTTCTGAAATTGAGTGTTAACAAACCTTTGCTTGATTAACCATATATATTTGAAAAATAGCTAATATCAGTATTGATAGCTTATTTCACATTTTATTTCTTCTTCTGTAGGCCTGTAAATGGATTACAAATTGTACAGTGTTTAGCTTTTGGCATTTCTGTGGTGGTCGGGTCTTTTAGTATCCAGACAGTGACTGAAAGAATCAGTCAAGCCAAGCATATCCAGTTTCTGTCTGGGGTCTGTGTACATACTTACTGGCTCTCTGCCTTGTTGTGTGACCTCATCTTCTTCTTCATCGCCTGCTGTGTATTACTGGTGAGTATCAGCTGCAGCTGCATGAAGCATCCTTTACCCTCTGTGGTCTACAAAAATGATTATATCCTAAAATGAAATTTGAAACTACACTAACTCACTACCCTAGAGATTTGCTGTAGACTCTCATTAAGGACAGGTTCTGCCCTACATTTCTTTCACTAAAGAGAATCATTTTCTTTGAAAAACCTCCCTTGAGTATGCTGTCATGTATTTGCTCACTAATATGTCCTGTCCAAAATCTGCTCTAAAACCTTTTAACTTGTGCTGACAAGTTAATTATAGCTAAGACAATGCCTACTCAGTCCTAGTGTGCCCATTGGGAAAATTGGGGCTGAACTACATAGTTCATATTCAAGATCTAAGGTCAGCTTCTATTGCTATTGATCTTCAATACTTAAACTCCATGCTCAACATAGCCGAGCTCCATAGCAAAACTAGTTTTAACTTGGAACTAATTTTGAAAAACTGAGAAAGCAGTCTAGAGAGTGCATATGTAGGAGTATATATCATCTGTTAATATAATTATTTTACAGGTTAGTAAACAATAGCAACTGTTATTTTCTGGGCATATTTTAGATAAATAATATGCATAAAGTACATAGTTAAGGGGAATAAAATATGGATAAAGGGGTAAATTTATTTTTAAATAAGTGTTGAAGACAAAATATTGTGAATAAAATATTGTTTCAGTCCTCACAAAGTCTATTGTTTCTCCATTGGCACAGAACTGAAAATAAAGTATACCAACTACTATTATGAAAGATGAACTAGTAATTCCCACAGATTGTATTGTGAAATGATAACTAATTTTTGAAGAAAAAAAGACATAAACTTTTTTATCAGTTTGGTTCCCACAAGACAATTCATATTTTTTGCAGAGGAGCCCAAGAACTGGTTCTGAAGATAGAGTCTGGATCTCACCAACTATAAGAGCTGCTTACCTACCAAAGACCAGAATCCAGGAATAGTGGTAGTGTGGGAAGCAAAAACTGTATATTATACAGAGACACCTTAAGGTAGAGAGAACTGAGGGACATTTCATTTTTTAATGTGCAAGACTGGATACTATTGTCATTTCCAGTCCCTGGTACATAGTTCATCATCAAATAAACATAGCAAGAGAAGATCACCATCTTGCTGATGGTCTATTTGTCTATCTTTCACTAATTCAAGCCTGGTACCTAGCTTTACAATCTCTCCTCTATAGAGTTAAAATCAACTTCAGGCTAGCAAGATGGCAGAAGGTTCTGTCAAACTTGGTGATCTGAGTTCAATCCCCAGGATCCACACAGTGGAAGAAGAGAGCTGACTCTTACATGTTGTCCTCTGATTTCTACAAGTGCACACACATGCCCACATGCATTCACATACACATGCATGTGTACATGCACATGTGCACACACACACACACACACACACACACACACACTATAAATTACTGGAAATTTTTTAAACTAAAATTAGTTGAACAAACTTGACTCTTTTAATTTCCATGCCAAGGTGTCACTTGTTTTTATGGTTCTTTAAACTTGGCTGGCACACTTGTGTGTCCATTTCCTGGATGACAGATTAAAAAGCAAGAAATAAACAAAAGCATCTATTTTCAATATTTATACCAATATTACTATGTATAACTAATGACCAAAGTTGTTTCTTATGTTTGTTTTTATATGATACCACAAACACTGGACACGACTCTTAATTCATCATATTTATAAGCAGAAAAGTAAGGCTCAGAGAAAGTCTTCTCTGCCTCTACCACCTAAGACAGTCAGAACTTTGGAGTTACTCTAAAACTCATTGTCACTCATATTCAGAGTCATCCTGGACAGTATGTTTCAATTTATTACCATGGCCCTATTCACAATTTCTTTTGGATTTTTTTAATTTCTTTAGATCATAATATAGTTACATCAATCCCCCTTTCCCTTTCCTCCCTTCGATCTTTTCCCTATCTTGCCCTCTTATTCTCTTTCAGATTCATGGACTCTTTTTTTTTTCTTTTATTGTAGTTGTTGTTGTTATTGTTGATGGTTGTGGTAGTGGTGGTGTAGTATTAGATACCTAATTGGTGTGTTTTTCCCTGAGGAAGACTGTTTCACCTACTCTTGGCGTTCCTTGGTTGCCTGGACTTCTTTGTCTAGGGATAAGTCCGGCTGAACTTCCTACATCCACTTTAACATATCTATTACTGTTGCCCTTATTCAAGTCCTGTTTAGGCAGCCATGTTAGTGAGATTGTGTTTATCTTCTGGCATGAGTCGAAGACTCAATCTCATAGCAAGCTCCCTGTTCCTCTGGTTCTTAACAATCTTTGCATTCCTTTCATAGTTATCCCTGAGTCTTAAGTTCAGGAGTTATGTTATATCAATTGGGATTGGGCTCCACAATTCTGCATTTTGATTGATTGTGGTTTTCTGTAATGGTCTCTTATCTGTTCCAAGTTTTCCTTGGTTAGAAACTAGGAGTTAATTTATCTGTGGGTAAAAGAACAAATGTTTATAGTGCCATTAGGGATTATGATGGTTTAGTAAAGTGGCAGCTGAAGGTTCTTCTCCAAGATCTATGACCTCACTAACCCTGAGTAGTTGGTTAGAACCCAGTATAAGGTAGGATTTCCATCTTGTTGTATGTATCTTCAATGCAATTAGAGAGCTGTTGCTTATCGTCAAGGTATGCTAGTCTTGCCATTGTGGCTCATGGTGTGATAGATGGGTAAGATTATTGGATACTTCCTTCCTTCCTTGGAAGCTTAAATGACACCTTATGGTACCATAAAATCTGGTCCTCAGGGAGGAGACATGGAGGTCAGTTTCAGTTGGAGGACCTGTATTTGAAGTGCATAATGTCTTTAGGAATCGAAATTCTGTAGAAGTTAGTCTGGCTCTTCCTCCCAGCCCCATGCTCCCAGAAATAAAGCTCAGATTCAAATATATTTACAAATAAGTTGGCCATATGGTTAGGCTCTTCTCTGACTAGATCATAACTTAAAATAACCCATTTATTTTCATCTACATTCTGCCATGTGACTGGTTACCTGTGCTCAGGTATCATATGTCCATCTCTTCACATCTTCCCAGTCCAGACTCTGGCCTGGTCAATCCCAGAATTCTCTGTGCCTCCCAGATGTTCCACCTTCTATTCTACCCTTTCCTATAGGCCATAAGTGATGCATCCATACAATACACAGGATATTCTCTCTGCAATTTCTCTTTTTAGTCCACTAAAAGGCTCTTTTTCTTTATAACATAAATTAAATACAATTATAAATTATGCAACAATTATGAAACTACAAAGTATGATATACATGTATAATGTCCAGTCTATAGTACTTGGCAATTAAGGAAAAATTTCTATTACCTATTAAATTAAATTATTATGTTTTGTATATATTAATTAATGTTGGAATATGGCAGCAATTATTCCTTGACCAGTTTTTTCCCCAAAAAACCACACAGAGACCTTTTAATATTTTAAAGCTTAGACCTGAGCTGGGCAGACTCTCGGCTACCTCATCTAAGTTAATCCAACGACCTAGCCCCATGTAGCCCCATGGCTATCTATAACTTCCAGGCCCATAGTCACATCTGTCTCCTGGTGAAAAGGCTTTTCTTGCCAGGGTTTCTTTCTTGCTCCAAGGAAGTCTACCCAGCTAATTGGCCATCAGATTTTGTATTAAAGACAATCAAAAATGTCATAGATAGGTGAAGAAGGACAGAGACACAATTTCACACAGTGAACTCCAACAGGATTCCTTCTAAATCTAGAGGATCATTATAACCAAGGACAACACCAATAAGCTGTATAATGGTTTGGTAGCCCTACAGGTAGTCTTGGACATCCCTAACCAACAACTCAAAAGGTACTTTCTCACGCTTGGTATTACATATTCTGATAGATGGTTTATGGTTATATGAGAAAATATTGTCAGTCCAGATAGGAAATTCTTTATTTATACTATGCATGTATATTTATATATTAACAAGCCAGTTTTACTTTTATTTTATGCTCTTCTGTATTTATTTTTCTCCTATTCCCTAATTACAGCTCCTCATTTTTCCCATTTCACCCTTTAAATCACTTGTAACTAGCTCTATTGCCCCCGTTGCACTGCACAATTATCCCATTTTATTTTCCTAGTCACTCCAAGTTATATATTCACATATCAGCATTTGAAGCTAGGAACCTCAGATAAGAAAGAATATGCAGTGTTTGTCTTTCTGTGTCTGGGTTACTTCATGCAATATAATACTTTCTAGTTTCATCCACTTAATCTGCAAATTTCCTTTTTCCTTAGTATAGTGTTTTATATGTGCATCAGTTCTGTGTCAAGTAGGTTGTTTTATTCCTGTAGGCTGTATTCATGTAGGCTGTTGTGACTAGAACAGCAATGAACATGGCTTAGCAAGTACCTGTAGAATAGAATATTAAGTCCTTTGGGAATGTACTAAGGATTGCTATAGCCGGGCCATAGGTAGATTTATTTTTAATTTTTGAGTATTTTTTAAACTGATTTTTCAAGCTGTTTGCAATTCCACCGACAGTGAATGAAGGTTTCCTTTCTGTGCACACACACAGCATTTGTTGCCAGTTGTTTCATTGATCTTTGCCATTCTAACTGAAGTATGATGGAATCTCAAAAGGCATTTGATTTATGTCTCCCTAATTGCTAGGGATGATAAAAAAAAAACCTTTGAGATACTTTTTAAGATGGTTTTTTGGACTTTTTGTTGTTGTTTTCTTTATTTGGATAGTTGGTTTGGGTTGGGATTTCTTTGCTCTATTTTCTTTTCTTTTTTTTTTGTTTTGAGTTATTTATGTACTCTTGATATTAATCTTTGGTGGATGTTTAGCTGAAAAAAAAATTCTCCATCCCTCTCTGAGCTTCCTTTTCACCTGTTTGCTTCCTCAGCTGTGCAGATATCTTGTAGTTTTATAAAGTCTCGCTTGCCAAAATTCTAGAGCAAGTGGTGTCCTATTCAGAAAGTGCTTTCCTGAATC